GTAATTTTTTTAATTTAATTTTTTTATTATAATTTAATTTAGATTTAATAACAAAGTGGTTTAACAATATAATTTTTTATAAAGATAATAATTAAACAGTATGTTAGAACTCAATGATTATTTTAATTATATTTTAGATTTTCTATGTATAAAATAGATGTTTATCCTATATTTGGTTATAATTATCTGTAGTTAGTTACACAAATTTAAAAATAAAACTTTAATAAGTTGTACTTATGCAAAATTACTTGTAATCTTGAATTTTTAATAATATGCATCAATAAATAGTACTTCATGCATAAAAATAGTTTTTGTCAAATATTTTATAATATAGTATTGATATGTAAAAACATTTTCAACCACTATATTAAAATAATCAACAACACAAAAACTTCGTCATAAATTATCCGTAGACTATTTACAACTATCCAATTAAGAATTCTTAGATGTATTAATACAAATCAGATATTATGATCAATTCATTCTATAGTTTTCTTTGATTTTGAAGGTTTAGAAATTCTTTTTCTTTAAAAAGCTATATTGAAATATAAAAAAATAAAGTGAAAAATTTTAAATTCGGAAAAATCTTTAAAACTTAAAAGAAGAAAGAGAAATAATCATTATTTCTTTCCATCAATAAAATGTATTGAAATTAAATATGTAGAAAAAATAAATAATATTTTATTAAATATATCAAATATTTTATTAATATAATTAATGTTACAAAATTACTAAAATTAGGGGTGCTTAAATACTCGGCTAACTTGGTCAAACTAACTCAATGTGAAATAATCCAACACGAAGCAACCCAACGTTGAATCGAGTTGTACGATATCTTTTTATTTTTTGAATTTAATATTATTGTTAAGTCTCTATTAATATGTACATTATATGATTACACTATCACGTATGCTCTTTTACATATATTTTCAATCACTATTTCATCTTTATATAACTCATTCGTATATATGTTCAGTAAATGTGAACATATACATATATAGGGACAAGATCAAATGTTAACCAAAATTTATGTGTTAACTTTGCAAACCATGTCAACCAATCACAATCCATTTTTCTATTAGGTATCTATCATGTTCACAATTTAAATGTCAAGGATAATTAAGTCATTTCATTTGCTATCTAGCTCCCATACTATTAAAGAGGAGTTACAAAATCATAAAATTCCTAAAAATATACATTTATAATATTGATATTTTTATTTATTTTTTTATTCTTGATCTTCCATTTTTATTGTTTTATGAGTTTTTGATTCGTGGAGGAACCACGGTAGTAAAATCTTCGGTATCGTTTAAACTATTATGGATAAACACATTGGAAAAAAAAATCGACAACATTGAGAAGATTAAAATGGTTTATGGTGACAATCGGAGTTTGAGTTCGGGAAGTGAATAAATTAAACAAAGTGAATGTCTTGGTAATGGATTAATATTTTATTAAACTCGTTTTAATCGAAATTATGTTTATTATGATGTGTTATGTTTCTTGTAGTTCATATTGTGTTGATAACTTTTTTCTTTAATTATTAATACGTATCTAATTCACATGTTCAAATGGAAGTACATGCACGACTCATTTTCATATTGTCATATTACCGACTTGTATGAATCATAAACCATCGTTTCATGTTACTTCTATCATATGAACACAAGTGTTATTATTTAAGCTTGATACCAAATCTTTATATTTGTGTAAGTGTTTGCACCCGGTGTTCATAGCGTCGGGGTTTTGTGTTCATATATTTTATACGATATGAACAAAGGTGAACACGATATGAACAAGGAGTGAACAATCACATAAGACCAGAAACATATATGAACAAGAGGTGAACCTTAAACGGCGTGGATGCAATGCATGTATAAAACTCCAATTGACAAATGATCGCTCTTGAATATGTTTATAATGAATAAACTATTGTTCACAAGCTGTTCATAACACTCGTGTTCATACATGTTTTTTTATTTATTTCCTTTCGTATAGCAATTATTCTTATTATGTTCATATTGTGTTTATAAATGATATGCAACCAAAGTTCATATATATGTCGATTTTTTTTTTTCGTATTTGACACAATGGTTCATATGTATATAGTTGTGTTCATATGGTTTTACATTAACAAAAATCATATAATTTTTTGATTTTGTAACTCCCAATTAATGATATGGGAGTTATATATAAAAAATTACCTAAATACCCTTTTCAACTTTGTTCAATTATCTTTATGAAATTTTAAGATTAAAAAAATAAGTTTTTATCATGATTAATCACAACCGTTTATTGAAAGATTGAATGGCCAAGATCGGTTAACAAAATTAACACAAAAACTTTGGTAAACATTTGAACTTGACCATATATATATATATATATATATATATATATATATATATATGGGCCTATTCAAGGGAGAACTGAGTTGTTTGTGGTAACTGTGATAACCAATATTAACCACAAATAATAAAATAAACTAGAAAATTTATAAATTTGGTAATTTTAAATTAAAATCTTAATGCAAGGATATTTTT